AAAAGGGGGGTTCATTACCAATTATTAAATGATAAGCAATGTATTATTGATTAGAAATAGTTGTGGTTATAACATAATCATAATTCACAAGTTATCTGTGATTTTACTTTTAAAGGAAAAGCGAAAACTTGTAATATACATGAGACAATTCTTAAATACTTAGAAGGACTAAGGTTATAGGAGTCATCATTTGAAAAACAATACATCAATACTGTTTTTATTTCAGCTGATGTATGAATAGGAATTATCTGGTATATAAAAAATGAAATAGCCCTGGCTGGTGTGGCTAAATGGTTGAGCATTGACCTATGAACCAGGAGGTCACAGTTTAATTCCCAATCAGGGCACATGCCCAGGTTGTGGGCTTGATCCCCAAGTAGGGGGCATACAGGAAGCAGCTGACCAATGATTCTCATCATTGATGTTTCCATCTCTATCTCCCTCTCCCTTTCTTTCTGAAATCAATAAATATATGTATATTTTTAAAAAGAGCAGCATCTTTGAGATTATACATTCAATATAATCAGGTTCATATTACTCACTGTATGATAATAATGAACCTAGGTATAGAAAATATTATCTAACTAGAGGCCCTGTGCACAAAAATTCATGCACTGGGGTGGGGAGGTACCTCAGCCCGGCCTGTGCCCTCTTGCAGTCTGGGACCCTCGGGGGAGATCCACCTGCTGGCTTAGGCCTGCTCCCTGGGAGATTGGGCCTAAGCTGGCAGTCAGACATCCTTAGCACTGCTGAGGAGGCAGGAGAGGCTCCCACCACTTGCTGCTGCACTCACAGCCATCAGCCCAGTTTGTGGATGAGTGGAGCTCCCCCTGTGGGTGAGGGGCAGCTCCTGCATTGAGCGTCTGCCCCTCGGTAGTCAGTGCACGTTATAGCAACCAGCCGTTCTGCTGTTAGGGTCAATTTGCATATTACCCTTTCATTATATAGGATACATTTTCCTTCAGGAAATCTCAAGGATTCATTTTTTCACTCCAAGATGCATAACCATTTGAAAGTTTTTTAGGAGTGACATTGCTAAATTTTGGTAGTAGAAGGGAATAACTCTAACAAGGCACAGAGATAGATAATATTTTCTTGTGACAAATATTATGGTTGACATAAGACTGTGATACTTAGTCTCATTATAAAATTGATTGATATTAGATAGGACTATATATAAACTCACAATTTGTATTAATATAATTATAAAAGTCAAATAAGAAAATTCTAAAAGTAAACGTTGTTAAAGACAAGAAAAATTAAATATAATTCACTAGAAATTTTTGGATTCTGTGAATTAGTTCATATATCTCCACCTTTCCTTCTGATCTTTCATTATGGTATAATGTATAACAGGTTCATAGAATGTCTTAGGAGACACCACACTAGATGCAAGGTTACAGAGAGAAAACAGTTTATTTTTTCCTGTTGCTTATTGTCTGGTGGGGGTAACAGATAAAGAAAAAAGCATTTGCAGTTTAGGATAAGTGCAATGCCAGAATTATATTCAAAAGGCTCTGAGAGAAGGGTCTTAAGAAAGGAAAGATGGGAAAGGTAATGAGACCTTTAGGAGATAAGAGCATTTTTGTGGATCTTGAACAATGGGTAGATTAGCTAGGCTAGTCTAAGAAAGATAAAGGGCATTTCATACATAGGTTATAGCAATCCTGTAAGTATGGAGGTAAGAAACACCCTTTGCATTTGAGGAGAAGTAAAGTCATTCTGTATGGCCTCATATTTCTGCTTTGGGAGGTACACTACAAGAGACTGAACACTGCATGGAACCCTGTCAGACCTGAAAGAGAACTAATTAAGAAGCTGTTGCAATAATTTGGTTGAGAGATGACGAAGGGAATGTCAATAGGGACAGAGAGGAAGTGAGCACATGTGACTGAAAAGAGTACATGGTCTCTGTGTTGCTGCTTTTGAAACTGAATTGCATTCTCACAATAAAACATCTGCTGTGAGCCCGAAAGTACTGCTAAGAAAGAGAAGACACTAGAGTTTAATATGTAAATACAAGTGGCACCCCTACAGTTTAAGTGCATTTAAGTTTCTAGTCACTAACAAGTAGAGCTCTCCTTGGTTTCTGTATTCACACTGTTGGTTTTGACTCAGAGTCAGGAGAGGCATAGAAAAGAATGAGAAAAAAAATAAATAAAACTCAGATGGGAAGAAGGGAGAATTGTTATCCTGAGTATAATACCTGGTTATTGTGGTTGCTGGGAGTTGTTTTTATGAAGTACATGATTACTACATTAAAACTTCACAAAATCATGCTGATATTTTTGCAAAACACAGACTTACAACAACATTTTCTCACTTAGGTTTCACATAAGTTTACAGATGATTAAAAATTATTAAATTGCCTGTCAATTTCAGAAAAAATAAAGCACTATAAATACAACATTTTTCTTACCAGAATGGAGTGCATTCCCATGTAAATTCTACTTAGGCAAACTAGGGAACACCAGCAGGGAATAAGGATCAGTCCATAGATAAGAGGATACTAAAGGGGGAAAAAGCAAAATGAAATGAATTAGGCTAAATGTAAACAAGCAATTAAAAACAATCACTACACTATGAGTTCCATGAAAACAAGAACTGTGTGTTTTCATTCCCCAATGTATTCCCAGCACTAACCCTTAACATGACACACAGCAGACACTCAAGAAATATTTTTGCATGAAATGAACAAGTGATGAAACTTATGTTTCCTTACTCTTCACTGTGGGAACTGACTGACTCATTTTTGCTTTTACAGTAAAGATTCAATCACCAGCATGCTACAGAAGAAGAAAACAGGTAGGGGACATACTTTTAATATGGCTACCAATAAAAGTGCCTCTGGAATAGTACCTGAATCTGGCCCATGTAAGGGTCTTCACTTCCCTGGGGACGAAGACTAAGCATTATCTCCCTCTCACTTCCATTAGTAACTGCTATCTGCAATTTCTATTGACATTTCCCCGTTTTGTATTCAATATACAACACCTTGTAATATGTTTTCCTCTTCTACCCCACCACTAAAATTTCACGTGGAAACTTTATTGAGAAAAATTTTGATGGGTTACTGGGAGCAGTAGGCTATAAAAAGGAACAAACAAAATGTAGACAAGTCTTGGTATCAATGGCACCAGTATATGAGTTGGCTTTGACTCTCCTGGCATTAGAAGGGAGAAAGAAAGGGTAGATAGGGGTAAGTTTCTAATTCTCAAGAATTTGAAGCCAAGGTGTTTCAATAAGAAGTGGTGTTTAAAAAAAGCAAGTTAAGTAGGGTTGTAAGAAGAATGGTAAAGATTTAGTAAATGGTTCTTTGCATTTGACATGACCCACCACTTTCTTCATACAGCATCATACTCTCCTGGTTCCCTTTTAACCATCTATTTCCTTTTGTTTGTTTCCCACACAAGAGAACATCTTCTTCTTGTTCCTTAAACATTGGTATAAGTACTAGTAAGAATTCAGCCCTTGCCCCAACTGATTTGGCTCAGTGGATAGAGCGTCGGTCAGCGGACTGAAAGGTCCCAGGTTCGATTCCAGTCCAGGGCATGTATCTTGGTTGTGGGCACATCCCCAGTGGGAAGTGTGCAGGAGGCAGCTGATCGATGTTTCTCTCTCATTGATGTTTCTAACTCTCTATCTCTCTCCCTTCCTCTCTGTAAAAAAAAAAAAAAAAAAAAAAAATCAATAAAATGTATTCTTTTTAAATAATTCAGCCCTTACTAGTTATTTGAAGCTTCACCTTTTATTTTTTTAACTTCTACTTAGCATGCTGAAGACCTATCCATTTCCCTGGGTTTAAAAACCAGACGGCCACCTCCTGCACATGCTCTACCTTGAGATTTCCATGGAGCTAAACCCACAATACCGTAAGCCAAAATCATCATCCTGCCAGCCAAACTTGTTCCTACTTTCATATTCAATATTTCATCTGGAAACATTTAACACACATTATAATCTAAATGGTAAACATGAATTATCTTTCACTCCTTCCTTATCCCTCCATGACTTGCTGACTTTACCTTCTAAATATTTCTTGATCTGTCATCTCTTCTCCATCCTGCTTACACTGCTCTTGTTTCGATCCTCACAGTTTCTTTTACAAGCTCTATTTTTCCAGCCATTTTCCCATAGGCATGAAGAACGTGGTTAATGGGCAAAAAGAATGTAACCATATAATGAGGTAAGTGCTATAATAGGAACATACCAAAAGCTCAGAGGGAGTCTACAGAATGGGCATTTAACTTGGTTTAAAGATGTTAACAAAGACTCCCAGATTAAACAAGATTCAAGTTATCCTGAAAGATAAGTAGGATTTAGTCTTTAGAGAAAGGGAGTGAATAGAGGGCAAAAAAGGTGGAGGGCATTACAAACATCAGGAACACCATGAGCAAAGGCTGCGTACAAGGTATTGTAAGTAGTGTCTAGCAGAATAAGCTTACATTCTTCCTGGAGAGAGGTACTACATAGTAAACATAAAATATGTACTATATAAATATGTAAGTAATATATGAAAATATAAATTTTACAAATGTGGTAAGCACTATGGAGAAATAAGAGAACAGGTATTGAAGAAACACTAAACATTCATCAAGTATTCCTTGTGTTCCTCCTACATTTACAGGTTTACCTGCAGCTAGATTGAGAACCAAGTGATTAGTTTTGGCCAGTGAACTGGGAAAATGTGACTTATGCCACTTTCAGTCAGTCTATGAACTCTATGCCCTACAGATGTGGCCTTGGAAGCCACATGCATCACAACAAGGAATGAGGAGATGCAGCGCAAGATGGGAAAACTTCCATCAGCCCATGTTCTTGAGGTTCTAAGCAGAACAAAGCTAACCCATAATGAATATGTAGCAAAAATGAGAAGAGCTAAGATTGGGGGGTTAAGTCATCTCAGAGCATAATCAAGCCTATCAATTAAAATGGTAATAGAAGCCGAAACAGATATTTGGGAGTGGATAGAGCGTCGGCCTGCGGACTGAAAGGTCCCAGGTTCGATTCCGGTCAGTGGCATGTACCTGGGGTGCGGGCACATCCCCAGTAGGAGATGTGCAGGAGGCAGCTGATAAAATGGTAATAGAACAAGGATCAGATATTTGGGAGTATGTATGGGGCAGGTTAAAGTAGGAAATAAAAGACTACTATGTGTGTCTCAGTGGTTGAGCATAGACCTATGAACTAGGAGGTTCAATTCCCTGTCAGGGCACATGCCCGGATTGCAGGCTCAATCCCCAGTGGGGCGTGCAAAAGGCAGCCTATCAATGATTCTCTCTCATTATTGATGTTTCCCTCTCTCTCCCTCTCTCTTCCTCTCCCTTCCTCTCTGAAGTCAATAAAAAAAAAAAAGGAAAGACAGTAAATGCAGGCTTTACTGAGAAGCTGAGACTTGAGGCAAGACTAGTTGGAGGAGAGAGAATTAGCTAAGCAGATATCCAAGGGAAGAACATATGCCAGGCAAGGGGATCAAACAGAACAAAATACTTAATGAGGAAATATGACTGGCAAGGAGGCTAGTGTGGCTGGAGCAGAGAAAGCAAGTAGAATTGAGAGAGTAGGTAATGGGGCCAGCGCAAACAGAGGCCAAGAGGCCACTGTAAGAAATTTGACTGTTGGATAGAGCGTCGGCCTGCGGACTGAAGGGTCCCAGGTTTGATTCCAGTCAAGGGCATATGCCTTGGTTGCGGGCACATCCCCAGTGGGGGGTGTGCAGGAGGCAGCTGATTGGTGTTTCTCTCTCATCGATGTTTCTAACCTCTACCCCTTCTCCCTTCCGCTCTGTAAAATATCAATAAAATATATGTTAAAAAAAGAGTGCAGGTGCAAAGAGTCCCGAGTTCAATTCTGGTCAGGAGCATGTACCTTGCTTGTGGGCATATCCCCAGTGGGGAGTGTGCAGAAGGCAGCTGATTGATGTTTCTGTCATCGATGTTTCTAACTCTCTATCTCTCTCCTTTACTCTCTGTAAGAAATCAATAAAATATATTTTTTTAAAAATTAAAAAAAATAAAAAGAAATTTGACTGTTATTGTGAATTAAATGGGGAGCTATTGCAGACTTTTGAGCAGAGCATTGTCATGATGACTGCTATGTTGATTAGACAATAAGAGATCAAGGGGGGAAACGGAGACCAGTTAGAAGGCTGTTGGTATAATCTAGGTGAGAGATAACCATGGCCTCTGACTTTGTATCAGGCACTAAGGCCTGTTTAATTTTTTTTGTTAATTGAAAAACAACTGATGTCCTAGCTGGTTTGGCTCAGTGGATAGTGTGTCAGCCTGCGGACTGAAGGGTCCGAGGTTAGATTCCGGTCAAGGACACATGCCCGGGTTGAGGACTCGATCCCCAGTAGGGGGTGTGCAAGAGGCTGCTGATCAATGATTCTCTCTCATTGATGTTTCTATCTCTCTCTCCTTCTCCGTTCCTCTCTCAGAAATCAATAAAAAAATATTTAAAAAAATAAAAATTGTTCAATGAAATAAACATAAGCCTACAGCACTAAGGAAATCAGTCTTAGATGATCATATTCATAACTTGGGATTACCAATGATACCATAGTATTCAGTTCCTGACCTCAAACCTGGGCTGTGTTAACGTTAAGTTCTAGCAGCGTCTCTGCAATCCACCATAATAAACTGCAATCTGAAAATCCTTTTGAATAAACTTAGGACAAGGAATTTCCAATGCCTGTTTTAGAATAATCCTTATTAGTTACAGATTCTGTAGCTTGAAGCTTTTAAAACTAATATACACTTTCTAAAACAAAGGTTTATAGAAATATAAAAACCACTTTATACAACAGCACATTATGAACCATATTTTCTATGCAAAAACAAAACAAACCAAAAAACTTAATCAAAGTCGTGTTTTCCCTCATGGTACTTTCCACACTAGTAGGCCAATGTAGAATAATATATGAGTTCAAATAGGTAAGACAAAAAGTGACCTACATACAGTCATTTAATTAACATATTAATGATAAAAATATAAAGATGGCTTGGTTGGTTGGAACATTGTCCATATACCAAAAGGTTGCAGGTTTGACTCTTGGTCTGGGCCTTTACTAGAGACAACCAACTGATAGATGTTTCTCTCTCACATAAATGCTTTTCTCTCTCGGAGAAAACCAAGATGGCGGCATAGGTTAATGCCAGAGATTGCTGCCTCGAACAACCAATTCAAATTACACCTAAAAGACGGAACGGACATCATCCAGAACCACAGGAAGGCTGGCTGAGTGGAAATTCTACAACTAGGAGGAAAGAGAAAAACACTGAGACTCAGAGGAGGAGCAGTGCGGAAGTGAGATACTAAGGTGCGGAGTACATGCGGGCTGGCGGCTGAGGGGGGG